ACAAAACAAAAAAGAAAATTTTCTCCTATACCTGATACGCCATCTGCATTTGATACTCCAGTTAAAAACGTCTTTGTAGAAGAATCATCGAATTAACCAACGTAATGAACAAAAAAGATAAAAAAGTTAAGAAGTTAAGTGATTCCAACAGAAGACTAAAAACACAAATAGTTTCTTTGAAGTCATTATTGGTAGAATTAGAAAACAAAAATTCATTAGCAGCGGAAAACAATGACGCATTAAGTTCCTTAGAAAAATCAAAATCTAGAAAATCAGGCAAAATTGTTAGAAAAAAATATTCACCACAATTGAGAGCTTTTGCACTCACCATAGATTACTCAGCTAGGCTTATAATTATGTACGCAAAACATTTAATACTTCTTTACCTTCTGTAAAAACACTAGGAAAGTTTGTAGTTTTAACACAATCAATTAAGCTTAATTATAAATAATAATAATAATAATAAAATAATACGTATAATAATAAAAATAAATAAATAAGCATAATTAAACAAATAAATAAGCAGTTTTGTTAATGAGGATATTTTTCATGAAATAAAAAAATCATCAATTCGATCACGAAAGTTGTAATCATGTCATTGATTTAGCTAAGAGTGTTATGGAAAAATACATAGACACACTCGTAAGAATACTCTACTCATCCAGGAAGACAGATCCTAAGAATTCTGTGAGACAATTTTATACTAAGATTATCCATTTTAAAAATCAGTCAAATATATATTTATAAATTAAATGTACAAATATATGTATACAATGTTTAATTTTTTAATAAACATCTAATAAAAATTGATCAATATATTTATTTATCATTATCAATATTCAATAAATCCCAAATTTATCGATCAACGTCCCAACCCTGTTCCATCACTATGGTTTGGTACATTCTAAGTTTGACCTTTAAATATCCAATCACAGCGCATTTGCCACGTCCCCCGCAACCCTTGCATAGGGCCAAATTTGGTGAACTCGAAACAGAACAAATATTCAATGATGCGGTATCTATTAGGGGGTAATCTGTGGTCACGACCCTCTTCTAGAAAACGGTGTTCCCCTACCAGAAGACCTCTGGTGTTGCAAACGCTTGGAGCGGGGGCCTCGAGCGCCTAAGTATGTAACCTCCGAGGAGGACGATGACTAGAAAGTGGTCTCGAGACATCGTGGTAGCACTGCGAGGGTGCTGGGGGTAGCAAGTACTGCCCCCGGGACGTGCTATTAGTGTAGGAAAGCGATGGAGAGGCCCCGGTTGCTTTCCGAACGGAGATCCGGGACCCCTCGTATACGCTAATGGTGACCACTATGAGGTTTTAGCCGGTAGGAGCCCGGCATAACCTTCTCGTTGCCCCCGCAACGAATGATACCCATGAGGATTTCTCCAATAAAAAAGGTGCGATGAGGTGATGAGTTATCTTACGCTGCCATCAAACGGCATCATCATCATCATTACAGCCCTTCACAAGTCCACTGCTGAACATAGGCCTCCCCCAAAGAATGCCACAAAGCACGGTCCTGAGCCACCTGCATCCATCGACTTCCTGCATGTCTTACCAGGTCGTCACTCCATCTCGTGGGGGGACGCCCTACACTTCGCCTACCGGTACGAGGCTGCCACTCGAGAACCTTTCTTCCCCATCGGTTGTCGGTTCTTCGAGCTATATGGCCGGTCCACTGCCACTTCAGCTTACTAATCCGTTGGGCTATGTCGGTTACTCTGGTTCTACTGCGGATATCCTCATTCCTAAGTTTATCACGCAGAGAAACTCCGAGCATAGCCCTCTCCATAGCTCGCTGAGCGACCTTGAGCTTCCTCATACGGCCAGCAGTGAAGGACCACGTCTCAGTTCCATAAGTCATCACTGGCAACACGCACTGGTTGTACAATTTCGTTTTCAGGTTTTGAGGTATGTCTGACGAGAAGATGTGTCGTAGCTTCCCGAACGCTGCCCAGCCGAGTTGAATCCGTCGATTGACCTCTCGGTCGAAGTTGGACTTACCTAGTCGGACTATTTGTCCCAGGTAAACATACTCGTCAACAACTTCGAGCTTAGTGCTCCCAACAACTACCGGCATAGGTGTGACATGGACATTGAACATGATCTTTGTTTTGTCCATGTTCATCTTAAGACCTATCCGTTGGGAAACACTATCGAGGTCATTGAGCATAGTGCTTAGTTCCTCCAGCGATTCTGCCATAAGGACTATATCGTCGGCAAATCGAAGGTGAGTGATGTACTCGCCATTGATGTTGATACCGTATCCTTTCCAGTCCAGAAGCTTGAAAACGTCTTCCAATGCAGCGGTGAAGAGTTTCGGGGATATGACGTCACCCTATCTTACACCTCTCTGCAATTGGATAGGTTTCGTACTCTGGTTCTGTACTCGGATAGCCATCGTAGCCCTACTGTACAAGCACTTCCGCACTTCGATATACCGACAGTCAACTTGGCACCGCTGAAGGGACTGCAGCACCGCCCAAATTTCGACGGAATCAAAGGCTTTCTCATAGTCCACATACGCCAGGCATATTGGCAAATTGTACTCTTCGGACTTCTGTACAATTTGCCGAAGGGTATGTATGTGGTCTATGGTGCTAAAGCCCTTTCGGAAACCGACTTGTTCGGGAGGCTGGAAGTCGTCAAGTCTGCGCGCGAGACGATTCGTAATGACTCTCGAAAACAGCACGTAGACGCGGCTCAGAAGGGAAATCGGTCGGTAGTTCTTCAAGAGAGCGTTGTCACCTTTCTTGAAGAACAAGACCACCGCACTTCTGCTCCACGCCTCCGGTGTAATGCCACCATGGAGGACGGAATTAAAGAGCTTCTGAAGGACTTCAAGTACCGGTCTTCCACCCGCTTTCAGAAGCTCCGCTGTAATTCTATCCTCGCCTGGGGCCTTACCGTTTTTAAGGTGCTGGAGAGCTATTCTAATCTCGCTCAGACTGACATCCGGGATATCTTCGGAATAGTGTCGGATGAGACTCGCTCTTGGATCGTTACTCACACTTGCTTGTGGCTCCAACGATGACGTGTACAGCTGCCCATAGAACCTCTCAATCTCACTCAAAATCTCAGGTGTCCCGGAAACGATGCTGCCACATTCTGTCTTCAGCTTTGACAGGTGGCTCTTTCTGGCAGACAGATCTCTGGCAAAGACTTTGGAGCCTTGGTTCTGCTCGATCGCTTCTTCAATACGAGCTGTATTGAAGTTGCATAAGTCCCGCCGCATGCATTAGGAGATCTGTCTGTTCAGATGCCTGTATGCTGTCAAGTCTGTTGAAGAATGTAGCTTCATCTCCCGTCTAACAGCCATGAGATTAAGAGTGTGATCGGAGAGTTTTTGTGTTCTTCTGCGGCGGGTCTTGCAGAACTTAGCTCCGACCGCATGGACAGTTTCCACGAGCTTGTCATTCATATCGTCCACTTCATTGCAGTCTTCTAGGCACTGAAAACGGTTTTGTAACTCGAGCTGAAAGGTTTCGGGACTTTGGAACAGAGCACGAGGGGGACGGAGCGTTGACTTCATTAGACGAGGCCTCTCCAACTTAACGTTTAGGTTCAGTGTGCCTCTAACCATTCGGTGATCGCTACCAGTTTTCACCCTCGCGATCACGGAGACATCACTGAACAGTTGTCGTCTGGTCGTCATAATGAAGTCAATCTCATTTTTTGTCGAACCGTCGGGGCTCGACCAGGTCCACTTTCTGTGGGGCCGCTTCTGGAAGAAAGAGTTCATCATAAAGAGTCCCTCTTTCTTCATGAAGTCGGCCAGCTGCTGGCCCCTTGGGTTCCGTTGCCCTATTCCAAATTTCCCTACTTTCAGCTCACCGTTCTCTCTTGTGCCTAGTTTTGCATTGTTTTGCATTGCAAACGGCATACTTAAGGTTTATATGCACCAAGTTATTGTTCTTCTGTCATCTATCCCACTGTCCCATCTATTGTCAACTGCTGAACATAGGCCTTTCCCATTGATTGACTTATAAAAGGCAACTTATTCTTCTGCCTGTACCTAGCAATAAGATTTATGGCTGAAGGGGATATCTCTCACATTTGCCAAAGTTGCCTCGCTTGGCAAACGGGTTGGCAACCAAAGTTTTTTAATAAGACTTGTTATTATTAAGATGCCGCCGTCTATACCGTGTTTCATGTACGACTGTCGTCTCTTTCGACAACCTAGATTGATCAACGAGATAGAGGATTGTCTTAAGCGGATACTGCTCGGTTGAATGTGAAGTATTGCAAATTTATTATAAGGGTGTTACCACACCAATCGATCGATGGCATCGATCTATGGTGGAATGGATTAGTCGACGTCACTCGATAGTTTCTACCACAACGATCGATCGATGGCATTGATCGATGGTAGAGTAGATAAGTCGACGTCGATCGGGTTGTTTAGTTATTCGAGAATTTCGATTTCTTTTAATTATCATAATAAATAGTTATTGGATGTAATATAAATTACTATATTTTTAAAACTAATATAACTGTCAAGAGTATATAACTACAAATAATAAATATCTGAGACAGTCCTGTAGAAATCCGGTCGTATGGCAACCCTAGCTCAGATACCAGAAGTGATACATGGGCTTACTTTATGTTAAAAGTTGAGAGAGGTAATGCGATTCAAAGGAAGGGGTAGGGGGATGAAAAACTGCTCCCTGTTTATATTCAAAGTTATATTAAAAAGTTCTTGTTTTAGAAACACCAACGACCACCTGGTTTAGAGATTACAGTATTAGACGGATCTGGGTACCAATAGAGAGTGAAATAACTCTTGTGAGATGAGAGAGAACAAGAACGTAATCCATCTCATGGCAAATGGATGCTGTGAATCATTAACACCTATATCTTTTTTTATAGGATAGGATGACAAACGAGCACACACTCTACCTGATGGTAAGTGGTTGCTGTGATACATAGACATCTACATCTAACCTCAATAAAGAATCAAAATGCAGATGCGTTGTCACCCATGAGGACTAATATGGATTGCCTCTTTTCTTTTAAAAAGAGTCTCCGGTTCTCTACACTCACCATACGAAACACAGCAGCTTTAAGCTGCTATTTTATTTATTTATTTATTTATTTAATAAGGCTTACCAACTAAATACACATAGAAACAATTATTATGAGGTGCACTTAAAAAAATTTGTATATATGCATTTAAATTAAAGGTAAACACAACACATAATAAAATACTTCCTTTAAGGAGAACAGTAACCTATAAAACTATCACTACAATAAAATAATAAAATTAGAACAAACAAAAAAAAAACCTAACTTATATAATGTATAATGTATATTTTACGCTGGTATTCTGTGAGAGCGTGGTCCTTCCCCGGTCGAGACGACCCATTCGTGCTATAACTATACTAATATAGCTGCAGCATGGCTCTATCACGTATATACACGTATATCTGTTATATCATCGACAAAACACATATGCGCTGTTATTTCCAAGTGACAAACAAACTTCCAGTCTTTATGATGGTAAGCGGTTTCTGCAGTCCATGAAGACCTGCAGCCAAATTGGAACAAGGAAGTTTACATATGCTTTGTCACCTGTGAGGACTAAGATGCCTCACAGTGTGTAGTTACATTCGCACACTATTCTCTTCAAATCATAACCCAGTAGTGGCACAAGCACTGCCATTTGGCAGGAGACATAGGTAGGAGGGTAGTACATAACAATACAAGTCCTAACCAGCTAGTAAAATAACACACATGCAGGAAGGCGATAGATGCAGGTAGTACACGATCGTATTTGTTTTTTTTTATAGAATAAGGGGGACAAACGAGCACACAGTCCACCTGATGGTAAGTGGTTGCTGTGGCCCATAGACATCTACATCTATACTTGTTTGCGAATTAAAATGCAGGTGCGTTGTCAGCCGTGGGGACTAAGATATGTACAATGCGTCTTTTCCAGTGAAATAGGTCTCCGGTTCTCTACACTCACCATACGAAACACAGCAGTATCAAGCTGCCATTTTACGCTAGTATTTTGTGAGAGCGTGGTCCTTCCCCTGTCGAGCCGACCCATTCGTGATACAACTATACTATTAACATAGCAACAGCAAGGCTCTACCACGCTAAAATTCCTTAGGGAAAACCTGTTCTCAGCGGTGAACTTGTGAAGGAATACAGAATCACAGAATACCAGCGTAAAATAGCAGCTTAACACTGCTGTGTTTCGTATGGTGAGTGTAGAGAACCGGAGACCCTTTTTACTGGAAAAGAGGCATTCCATCTTAGTCCTCACGGATGACAATGCATCTACATCTGGATTCGCAAGTGAGGAAAGATGTAGATGTCTATGGGTCACAGCAACCACTTACCATCAGGTGGACTGTGTGCTCGTTTGTCACCCTATCCTATTAAAAAAAAGAAGGGTAGTTACAATGATGATGTTGATAATGTCCCTATAAATGTGTGATACATTCCATATCAGCGCTCTTGTAGGATGTAATAGCTATTTTAAAAACCGAGTCGCTGCTAGTTTCGAAAAAACAAAACAAAATGTTGATTAAAGTTTCAATCGATAAACATTTTTCACAATTGGCTCTCCGAAACATAGTCAGTATACAGTTCGTTCATCCAATGTTCCGCTCTCGTTCATCCGGTCGTTCATTCTGCTTCGCAATCATTGCTATCGTTAGTTGATTGCAGTGATCCAGGCGGCGATATTTTTTATTACCCGACTGATCAGTGATTTTGAATTGAGACGTATATTTGCAATGAAAGGAAATGAAAACTCTTTATTTGTCGACGTAAGAATTTAAAACATGTTTTAATGTCATTTTAATATGTTTTTAATCAACTGCAGTTTCGAAATGAGGTTTCTTGTGTCCGGTGATGAATTGGCGAAAAAAAGTCCGCATGTCTCCTCTTTTTGTCATTTTTTAAAGACAATAATATGATATTCTTAAACGTTTTATACAAGGTTCATCTTGACGTACGCCCCATCAAGGTAACGACAACGAATAGGCTTGACGTACGTCATCGCTGTACGTCAAGGATACTCATTGTCGTTTTGCATCGTGCATCGTGCATGACCTTAGCGGGACGTACGTCAAGATGGACTGTGTATAATACGTTTAAATTAAAGTTGGATAAACAACCAAACGCATAGATAATAATCAAAGCATGTCCCAATGGCATGTCATAGATGGTGACATAAGATGGCTCCGTGGCGCAGCTGAGGGCTCTGGACCGCGCAGAAAATTTTATAAGCATCGGGGGGGGGGGGGGGGGGGCGAGGAAGGGGGAGAGTCCTTTGTTAAAAAAGTAAAGAATATACTATCTCGTTAAAGCGATGTCAAATACAGTGACGTATATTACAAGTAATCCTTATCATATCACAGACATCTAAATCTATCCCCGATTAAAAATTCAAAATGCAGATGCGTCGTCACTCGTTTAAAGCGTCAGTAGCCTAATGGCAGGGCGCGGACCGCGAACTCGAAAGGTCGTGGGTTCGAATCCGCCATTCGACTACTGTCGTGAACCACTTCTAACACAAGCATTTTAAGCTTACCAGAAGTGGTTAAAGGGAATATTAGTAATGATTAAAAGCATAAATAAAAATTAAAACTCGTGAGGACTAAGATGGAATGCCTCTTTTCCAGTAAAATTCGTGCCCGTTACTCTACACTCGTCATACGAAACACAGCAGCATCAACCTGCTATTTTGGTATTTCGCGCCGAGAGAGCGTTATCCTTCCCCGTTAGAGCCGACCAATTCGTGCTACAACCATAATATAGCTGCAGCGTACTAAGTAAGAAATTTTTACGTGGTAGAGCCATGCTGCAGTTATATTAGTAGTAAAGCACGAATGGGTCAGCTCGACCGGGAAAGGACCACGCTCTCACAGAATACCAACGTAAAATGGCAGCTTGATACTGCTGTGTTTCGTATGGTGAGTGTAGAGAACCGGAGACCCATTTTACTGGGAAAGAGGCATTCCATCTTAGTCCCCTGCATCTGCATTTTAATTCGCAAACGAAGATAGATGTAGATGTCTATGGGACGCAGCAACCACTTACCATGAGGTGGACTGTGTGCTCATTTGTCACCCTATCCTATATAAAAAAAGCGTGGGTCTACCACGTAGACACCTGATGATTATGCTAAATCTTATCTACAATGGGAGAGCCTTCATGCATAGGCAGGACTTAATTGCTTATACAACAAAATCCCCAGGAAATATACAACATTTGTCAGAAAACAAGTTTTAATGTTTTGAAAATTTTTACAAAAAGGGTTATTATAATATCAAAGAATACATAAATGAAAAAAATAAACCCTGGGTATGAGGTGATCGCCACCATGCTGATTCTATTAAAACTCATTTAAAATTTCTACAAACAAAATTATTGTAAAGTGAAATATTAAAAAAAAAGTCCCGCTGGGTTTCTTGCTGGTTCTTCCCAGGACAGAGGTATTTTCCGAACCAGTAAATCTATACATATAATAAAAATGTAAACAGCAGATGTCTGTACATTTTATATTTTTGTAATAGAACTGATTGATAGGTACTAAAAATAAGTAAATAAATACATTTCTACCATTTTTAGATTTTTCTGTCTGTCTGTCTGTTTGTTTGTTAACGTATCACGTATAAAGTACTAATTTATATCATAAGAATAGTTAAGGAAATTATTAAGTGTATATTCAGGTTACATTTAGTATATATTTCATTAAAATTGGTTAATTCCATCAAAAGTTATGACAAATATTCTGAAGTATGGGTACTAAGTATAGGTACGAATATGTTCAATAGTGGCGTTGGATGAGTCATCAAGTACATTTTAAAATTGATATCATATTATAAATCATAATTAAATTATAATAAAACATAATAAAACGCAGTAAACAAAAGTATTACATAAAGAACGTAATAAATATATACAAAATATATTAACCTTATTATCTAAACTAAATTAAAGTACAATAGTTAACCAATTTCATCGATAGATGGTGGTGTGGCAAAAATGTGATACAAAAGGCAGGTTAAAATTTTTGAAATCAAGTTCATTTAATCTTTGTTTTATTGAAATTGGTTAATTCTATCGAAAGTTATGATTATTATTTTGAAATGTAGGTTCGAATTTGTTTAATGGCGCCACAAAATCTCAGAAATAGTAATAAGAAGATTCGTGTGTAAAAAAAAACGTTCTATTATAATATATTTCGTATCGTTCTATTATAGTACTTAAAACACAGTAAAAAATATGTATTCCTTAAATTAAAAAAGAATGTTTTCTCACAAAGAACGTAATAGATGGCGTTGTACAAATTACAACCTTTTCTGAATTGCGGTGTTAAGATTTTTCACAGGTGAATCGTATTGAGACTCACTGAAAGTCTGACGAAGGGTGTAGGTCAGACAACACATTACAAAAATCATCAGAAACAAAAACCAGAAAAAAGAGATATTGAAATATTCAATTCGACTAAAAGTCGCAAAATTGCAATAAATGTCGTGATAGTGATATTGTTTTATACCCAGAATCCCTCTAATACCAAATAACTTTCCTTTCAGTTTTAAGTAAAGTAAAGTTGCAGCCTATTTATGTCCCACAGCTGGGCACAGGCCTCCTCTCATTTCTGAGAGGGTTTTAGGGCAAGGAAATGTCCACCGCGCTGCCCCAATACGTGTTGGCGAACTTCACATGTCATCGAAATATTTTTTTTATTTCTCAGACATGCAGGTTTCCTTACGATGTTTTCCTTCACCGCCGAGCACGTGGTAAATGAGCACTTAAAATTGCAATTAACAATTTAATTGGTGCCGGCGGGGATTGAACCCGAGTTGCTCGAGTACTGTAAAGCTTACAGCGAGCGCTAACCATCTGAGCTACCACGGCTCAGGCTTCAGTTCCAAGATAGGGATAATAACATCGATGTTCGATGTTTAGGCTACTCAAAACATCGATGTTGACCATTATCGATGGTTTTTGTATATGTGTAGATACTTACACATTGTTTCAAAATTATGTGGGTATACACAGCAAGGGAAAAGTAACAATTAACTTGAATATCAATTTACGTAGAATAGTTATTATGCGACAACCGACAACGACACTACAAAATAAAGTGAAAGCAGTGACCATTGTGACATTACAGGAGACACTTGACAATTAAGTTTGACTCACCATACTGACATTTTTTTAGGTTAACGATGCGTTCAGAAATTCTGAATTATACAAAATTTTTAATCTTCAGAGCAGATGCAATATTTAGTTATATTGATTTCGCGAGTTCTCATTGTTTGCAAGTTCCCAATTATCGATTATGGGTTCATTGACGTCGATGTTTCGATGTTTGACATATGTCAACATCGATGTTAAAACATCGAAGTTTTAATTTTTAACATCAATGATCATCTAACATCCCTATTTTCAGTGTGTTTCCCACTCAGCGTGTGTTATACGACGATCGTAAATAAAGCGCAAGGTCAAACTTTACGCGTTGCAGGAGTGGACCTCAGTACTGATTGTTTTGCACATGGCCAACTCTATGTTTGTTTTTCCTGCGTTAGTAGTCCCCGTAACCTTTTTCTGTACGCCCCGGCTAAGTCTACTTCTATCGTCGTTTACACAGAAGCTCTATCATAAACGACTTAGAACTTTGAGCATATCGATTTATTTTGTTACCACTTATTCATACAGTAATGATATAAATCGTTTAATATTCTCTTACCCTAAACGTCAAATTCTTTAAGTAAAACCTATATTCGCGAGCTACGCCGCGGGCACAGCTAGTTAAAAATAAGAGTGACTTTCAACAACTACTATGTAATAATCTATATTTAATAAAAATTATTTTATTCTATTCTATTCTAACCATTATGTTCAGACAGAAGAAGTCAAGAGCTTATATTTTTATACATGGTAGAGCCATGCTGCAGCTATATTTTTGGTATAGTTGTAACACGAATGGGTCGGCTCGACCGGGGGAGGACAGAATACCAGTGTAAAATAGCAGCTTAAAACTGATGTGTTTCGTATGGTGAGTGTAGAGAACCGGAGACCCTTTTTACTGGAAACCGAGGCTTTCCATCTTAGTCCTCACGGGTAACAACGCATCTGCATTTTGATTCCTAATCGAGTATAAATGTAAATGTCTATGGGCCACAGCAACCACTTAACATCAGGTGGACTGTGTGCTCGTTTATCACCCTATCCTATAAAAAAATACAGAGGTCAAAAATGACTACCCTTAGACAATCAAAGTTTTTATTTGACCACCCCGTTTTACACAGAGCGGGTGAAAAAATAAATATGTCATTAGCAGCAATAACACGAGGCGCGCCCTAGGGGTGTGTTTCCGTGCGATTGACTCCCCTCGCATAGGGGTGAGTGGTGAGGGGAGATGTTTTTTATTCAATTGTTTTGAAGAATTTCAGTACGGATGAATGATGGGATTTTCAGAATGAGATTTCAATAAATCTGCACGTACGTACATTTCTTGAGGGGTAAATTCTCGAAATCGATATGAAATTTTGATTAGATTTATTAGGTTTTTATTTTATTAAATTTATGTCTTGTATTACTGTCATCGTTACAGCCTATTAAGGTCCACTGCTGAACATAGGTTGCCACGCTTGGCAAGGTTTCTTTCTTTTTAACTGTCTTTCTTTCTTTTTTTAGAAAAACGTTACCCCCACATTAGGATTTTCTCCTGTATCGTGGAGGCAGTTTACAAACATAAAGGACAAACATCCAGACCCGGAACAAATGTTTGTAGGCCATACAAATACTTGTTCCGTGCGAGATTTATACGTGGTAGAGTCTTGCTGCAGCTATATTATGGTTGTAGCACGAATGGGTCGGCTCGACCGGGCAAGGACCACGCTCTCACATAATACCAGTGTGAAATAGTAGCTTAACGCTGCTGTGTTTCGTATGGTGAGTGTAAAGAACCGGAGACCATGGCACTACCACGTATAATTTGGTCGATAAACAGAATAGTCGTAGCTATAGTTGCTATAAGTATAAAGTTTTGTATTACATATTATTAATAATGTTATTAGAAAGATGCTGCTGCCCATCTCCTTCTTCAGTTTCCCTCTGTCGCCTCTCACGACACCCACGGGACGTATAATAGTGGATATTCTTACACCGCCATTACACGGTTTCAACAAATGTAACAAACTGCGGTTGTTAACCCGTCTGCCAAGCACCAATTGTGTTCAGCAGTGAACTAATATATTAATAATACATGTAAATAGAATATTAATAATACAAGTGGTAAAATAAAAAATTTCGTGCAACCGACTTCAATATAAATAAATAAAAAACCGGCCAAGTGCGAGTCGGACTCGCGCACCGAGGGTTCCGAACAAATCCGTAGGTATATAAGTTTAAAATTATTAAAAATATTTTCATTTCATTATAAGATGTAACTAAAAATTTATACTTTTCGCAACTTTTCCTTTATTGGTGCTATAATACGTTGCTTCGTACCAAATTTTTAGATTCTGAGTTCACGGGAAGTGAGTACCCTATAGGTTTTGATTCCCTTGCGAATGTCGAAAATTTGCGATATAAACGGCTGTATCTTTTGATTGCGTTGGCTTAGAAGTTTGACTTTTTCACAGCTCTAAGAGACAGTAGACTTGAGTATTTGATGAGATATGAGATTTCAGCTTGATACCTCCACGCGTTTCTGAGAAAAAGGGTCTTGACAGACAGACGGACAACAAAGTGATACTATACGGGTTCCGTTTTTTCCTTTTGAGGTACGGAACCTTAAAAATTAAAAACTTTGTACAACCGACTTCAATGTAAATTATTAAGAATAACTCAAAAACTATTGGTCAGACCTTGATCAAATTTATATGGGACCACATGAGAAGCTCCAGCTTTCAAATAAAAGAATCATTGAAATCGGTTCACCCAGTAAAAAGTTATGAGATAAAACACTAACACACATAAAAAAACATACAGTCGAATTGAGTACCGTCTCCTTTTTGAGTCGGTATATAAAATGAGAATATCATCAATA